AGTATTTAATCTATACTTTTATTAAGTTGGATTGGTACTGCTGATCGGTGGATTAAAATAACTTATTGGATAAGTTTTATGGGTTAATTATAAATCTTTTTTGTATGAAAACTTTTTTTCCATCACATATAATTAATGAGATATAAAAGAAAATTGATGAAAACGTCAAAATTTCTATTTTTTTAAGTTGGGTTGGTAACGCTGATTGATGGAGTAAATGTCTTTGTTTAATACGTCTTATGAGTTAATTCTAAACATTTTTTGTTACAAAAATAATTCTCCCTCATGAACAATTAATGAGTTATAACCGAAAATGATCAAAAACATCAAAATTTGGTTTTATTTTTGAGCTGGGTTGGTACTATTGATCGGTGGATTAAAATAACTTATTGGATAAGTTTTATGGGTTAATTATAAATCTTTTTTGTTTGAAAACTTTTTTTCTATCAGATATAATTAACGAGTTATAAAAGAAAATTGATGAAATCGTCAAAATAAACACCTTTATATATATATACAGGGTGAGTCAATAGCGCGGGGACGGAAGATAGTGGCTTTACTGTTGAAAATAAAATGTCATCATATATTACCATCAAAGCTGCACCGATTAAAATTATTTTCAGCTATACAGGGTGTTTCACTATTCCAGGACCGTACTCAACTTAATTTTTTTAAAGGCTACGTATCTTTTTACATATATTAATTAGCTGTCAACTGCATATCTTGTTTTCAAATTTTGAATGCAAGGTTTCCAAGTTATTTATTCAATTAATTCAATTTTAGACCAGCCTGTATAAGATACTATGACACAATAAATGACAGTCTATTTGTCATCATATATTACGATTAAAATTATTTCTAAAAGTGTCATTTTTTTGACATTTAAAGCTGTTAACGACGGCGCCGTTATTTCGGCGCCTACTTTCATTGTAATTTGCAGATTTAACATTTTAAAAAAACGCATTTTTGATATATGATTGCTCATCGCATAGATGGACTTATCCGCTATCAAGGTATGCAAAAAAATAGATGCATCCCGTTTAAAACAACAACGTTGGTTGCCATAGCAACGAAACAAAAAACAATACAAACAAATAAATATCGCAAAAAATGCGCCACGATTAATAAAGAAACTTGTATTTGAAACGTTTTTCTTTAAAATCACAAATCGCTAAGTTATTGACTATATTCCAGATATTTGATATACAGGGTGTTCAAATTAATTTTTTTTGTTTTTCAACCGATTCTATTCAAATTTGATATACGGTGGTTTTCTGGCATGAGAAAGACGATTATGGACGACATTTTGCTATAGTACCAACCCAACCCAATAATAAAACCACATTTTGAAGTTTTTGATAATTATAACTTATTAATTGTGCATGATGGAGAATTATTTTTTTAACAAAAAATGTTTAGAAGTAACTCATAAGACGTATTAAATAAAGATATTTACTCCATCAATCAGCATTACCAACGCAAATTTAAAAAAATTGAAATTTTGACGTTTTTATCAATCTTCTTTTATATCTCATTAATTATATCTGATGGAAAAAAAGTTTTCATACAAAAAAGATTTAGAATTAACCCATAAAACTTATCCAATAAGTTATTTTAATCCATCAATTCAATAGTACCAACCCAGCTCAAAAATAAAACCAAATTTTGATGTTTTTGATCATTTTCGGTTATAACTCATTAATTGTGCTTGATGGAGAATTATTTTTTTAACAAAAAATGTTTAGAATTAACTCATAAGACGTATTGAATAAATATATTTACTCCATCAATCAGTATTACCAACCCAACTTTAAAAAAATTGAAATTTTGACGTTTTCATCAACTTTCTTTTATATCTCATTAATTATATCTGATGGAAAAAAAGTTTTGATACAAAAAAGATTTAGAATTAACCCATAAAACTTATCCAATAAGTTATTTTAATCCATCGATCAGTAGTACCAACCCAACCCAAAAATAAAACCAAATTTTGATGTTTTTAATCATTTTCGGTGATAACTCATTAATTGTGCTTGATGGAGAATTATTTTTTTAACAAAAAATGTTTAGAATTAACTCATAAGACGTATTGAATAAATATATTTACTCCATCAATCAGTATTACCAACCCAACTTTAAAAAAATTGAAATTTTGACGTTTTCATCAACTTTCTTTTATATCTCATTAATTATATCTGATGGAAAAAAAGTTTTGATACAAAAAAGATTTAGAATTAACCCATAAAACTTATCCAATAAGTTATTTTAATCCATCGATCAGTAGTACCAACCCAACCCAAAAATAAAACCAAATTTTGATGTTTTTAATCATTTTCGGTGATAACTCATTAATTGTGCTTGATGGAGAATTATTTTTTTAACAAAAAATGTTTAGAAGTAACTCATAAGACGTATTAAATAAAGATATTTACTCCATCAATCAGCATTACCAACCCAAATTTAAAAAAATTGAAATTTTGACGTTTTTATCAATCTTCTTTTATATCTCATTAATTATATCTGATGGAAAAAAAGTTTTCATACAAAAAAGATTTAGAATTAACCCATAAAACTTATCCAATAAGTTATTTTAATCCATCGATCAGTAGTACCAACCCAACCCAAAAATAAAACCAAATTTTGATGTTTTTAATCATTTTCGGTGATAACTCATTAATTGTGCTTGATGGAGAATTATTTTTTTAACAAAAAATGTTTAGAAGTAACTCATAAGACGTATTAAATAAAGATATTTACTCCATCAATCAGCATTACCAACCCAAATTTAAAAAAATTGAAATTTTGACGTTTTTATCAATTTTCTTTTATATCTCATTAATTATATCTGATGGAAAAAAAAGTTTTGATACAAAAAAGATTTAGAATTAATCCATAAAACTTATCCAATGAGTTATTTTAATCCATCGATCAGTAATACCAACCCAGCCCAAAAGTAAAACCAAATTTTGATGTTTTTGATCATTTTCGGTGATAACTCATTAATTGTGCTTGATGGAGAATTATTTTTTTAACAAAAAATGTTTAGAATTAACTCATAAGACGTATTGAATAAATATATTTACTCCATCAATCAGTATTACCAACCCAACTTTAAAAAAATTGAAATTTTGACGTTTTCATCAACTTTCTTTTATATCTCATTAATTATATCTGATGGAAAAAAAGTTTTGATACAAAAAAGATTTAGAATTAACCCATAAAACTTATCCAATAAGTTATTTTAATCCATCGATCAGTAGTACCAACCCAACCCAAAAATAAAACCAAATTTTGATGTTTTTAATCATTTTCGGTGATAACTCATTAATTGTGCTTGATGGAGAATTATTTTTTTAACAAAAAATGTTTAGAAGTAACTCATAAGACGTATTAAATAAAGATATTTACTCCATCAATCAGCATTACCAACCCAAATTTAAAAAAATTGAAATTTTGACGTTTTTATCAATTTTCTTTTATATCTCATTAATTATATCTGATGGAAAAAAAAGTTTTGATACAAAAAAGATTTAGAATTAATCCATAAAACTTATCCAATGAGTTATTTTAATCCATCGATCAGTAATACCAACCCAGCCCAAAAGTAAAACCAAATTTTGATGTTTTTGATCATTTTCGGTGATAACTCATTAATTGTGCTTGATGGAGAATTATTTTTTTAACAAAAAATGTTTAGAATTAACTCATAAGACGTATTGAATAAAGATATTTACTCCATCAATCAGCATTACCAACCTAATTTAAGAAAAATAGAAATTTTGAGGTTGAAACAATCAAATATACAGAGTTGAGTTTAAAAAATCATAACAACCATGTTTATGGAAATTAAGAAATTATTTATGGCATATTAAATCTTCATCAAATTTGCTTCAAAATGTTTTTTATTTCATGATGATATCTCAATTAGTTCTTGAGATACGACTTTTTAAAATTCACATTTCATATCAATAATAATCAAAAATTCAGGGTTGGGTTCAAAAAATCATATTAACCATGTTTATGGAAATTAAGAAATAATTTATGGTACATTAAATCTTCATCAAATTTGCTTCAAAATGTTCTTTATTTCATGATTATATCTCAATTAGTTCTTGAGATATATTTACGAAAAGATTAATTTAAAATTTTGGTTTAAATCTCAACTAATTCTAATTTAATGCGACTACCGAATAAGAGATGTCGCCAATTATAATTAATTATTAATTTTTTTTTTTAATTAAATTAAATTAAATCAATTTATTTCATTACAATTTCAACCAATTTAATTAATTAATTAATTTTTTTGTTAACATGATGTTTTTTATGTTTCTTCTTTCCGTGTTCATGATTTCCATCTCGTCTTTTAGCATCGGTGTGGTTATCAACAGAGGGCGCGGCTAAAATAAAAAAATTAAAAATAAATTAATTAATTAATTAATTATTAATATATTCACTTGTATTGTAAAGAAAAACTATTGGGGTCGTTGTTGGTTGCGCTCGGGGTTCCCCCGGGAAAAGAACCGGCCCATTCGGGTTATTCACAGCTCGTTTATCATGCTTTGAAGATTTTTCGTGGGGTTTTCCTTCAATAAAGCAATTAATTAAATCATTATTTCCTTTTTAATTTAATTATTAACTCACCGTTAACGTTCATTATCATCATGACGTGGAATAAAACGATTAGCAACTTGCATAATTTTAAATCAAACATAATATTGTTAATTAATTAATTAAATGCGTCTTAAACGTTTCGAGTCTGGTTTAATAATAAAGCAGTTAATACTTTTTAAAATGAACTAATTGCGAAATATCGTTCGTTTATTGTTTACCGACAATCGCAAAAATTGTTTTATTTTTTGTTCTAGGAACGTAATTTATTTTTCGTTTCTTGATAAAACTTATTTTTTTGCGTTCCTATGGGTTGTTAGTCATAGTTTTTTAATGACACGGGTTGGCGATAAAAAAATTATTTTAAAAATACTTTGAAACATATTTTAGAAATATTTATAAAAAAAAAATTTCTTTAATGACTCATCAACAAAAAATTTTTCTTTTCTTTCCTCATTAACGGGTTAATTTTGTCATTTTAATTAATAGAGCATTAAAAATCCTGTAAAATGAGCCCAAACACCACATAGTTATCTTAATTAGTTCCCGAGATATCGCGATTTTTAATTAATCGATCGTCTTTTTTTTAGTTAAACGTCAAAATTGAAATGGCGATATCTCGGGAACTATTTAAGATAACTTGGTCGTGTTTGGACTCAAATTAAT